ATACACAAATAACATTAAAATTGGATTTTTTTTCATTATATATTGGCACTATAACATTGATGCTAGAAGTTTCTTTGTATATATACATATATATACTGGTGTTATGTATGCTACATTCAATGAGCTTCCTTTGAGGCACATTATTATCGCTCTGGATGGACCTACCAATTCAAAGGTTGGTTTCACTGGACCAGTGAATAGTATGGAAAGACTTGATACATACATTGAAAAACCAACCTTGACAAGCAAGGCCGCTGCGCGGAGAAATTAAGTTGAGCGCGGTACTTCCAGGGACGTGGTCAGAGTCGAACTCCGAACCTCTCGCTTACAAAGCGAGCGCCCTTACTACTACACCACTACCGCATTTAAATATATATGTAATATATATATATATATATATTATATATATACATTATATATATATATATATATATATATATATATATATATATATATATATATATATATATATATATATATACTATATATATTATATATATACATTATATATATATATATATATATATATATATATATATATATATTATATATATACATTTTATATATATATATATATATATATAAATATATATATATATATATATATATATATATATATATATATATATATATATATACATTTTATATATATACATTTTATATATAATATATATATATATATATATATATATATATATATATATATATATATATATATATATATATATATATATATATATATATACAGTGTTGAAAAAATATAAAAGGTCAAAAATAAAATGATGCTGCCTAGCTAGTAATAATGGTGTATTGTCTGCTCCTATTCTAAATGATGGTACTCTTTTGTTTTATCTGAATTGTTCAACACAGACAAACTAATGTTGCACAATTTAGATGAAAAAATTATTTGTTTTAGATGAAAAAAAACTTATTTGTATATTTTGAATCATTAAAATTAGATGTGTTTAACTTTTTTGTTAATTTATGCGGAAAAATTTAATGGGATATATAGCTTTTCATTAAAAATATCTTAATTCTTATTTATAATTTGTTTTTGTAAGATACTTATAATTTTCTGAATGCAAAAAACTTTTTTTTTTTTCTTGAAAAAATTATTTTATGAAATATTTAGGAGCAAATTCTATATTTTAGCAATCATGGCTCCAGCAAAACAGTATTTGAATGAGAATCAACAAAAATTAATTTTTGGATTTAGTTAAATTTAAAAAAAACTTACAGAACTATTGAAAAAGAGACTGGAGTTCCACATTCCACTATTTCAAACATTGTAAAAAAGTTGGAAAGTCACCAAACTGTAAAGATTTTGAAAGGATGTGGGCACAAACGTAAGACTACTGTAAAAGAAGATCACTTGATTGTAAGATTATTCAAAAGATTGTTTACATAAAAATGGGTTTAAAAGCTACGCACCACATTAAAAACCATTTTAGACACAGCAACAAAAGAAAAAATGATTATTATTTACTAAAACCCACGTTAATAAGCCAATTTCATTTTGGAAAAAAATACTGTGGTTGAATGAATCTAAATTTAATTTGGTACATTCTGATGGTAAAGCTTACCGTTTAAGTTGCATGCAAGGAACCGTAAAACATGGAGGTGGTAATATAATGGTATAGAGATATATATTATGGAATGGTGTTGAAAATCTTGAATTTATTTTATTTAAAAACACAATGAGTTTGAATATGTACATTGATATTTTAAATAAAAAAATTGACTTCATCAGCGCGTAAATTGCAATTCGATAGAATTTTTATATTTCAAAATGACAATGATCCGAAACATAAGTCGAAAAAAACAACAGAATTTTTACAAATCAAATCCATAAATGTTCTTGAACAACCAGCACAAAGTCCAGATATAAATACTATCAAAAATTTATGGTCGATTTAAGATAAACAAATGGATAATCGTCACTTGAAGCAAAAGGAAGAATTAGAAACTACTATTACAAATGCTTGGAATGAAATAAGTTCTGATATTACAAAAAAATTGGTGGAATCTATGCAGGCTTGGTAGGGAAGCGGGTGCGATCGCACTCGATAACTGACCACAGAAATAATATTTAGTTGCGAAAAACTGGCCAGATTTTTTAGTCGTCTTGAGAACATTTAAGTTTATGTATGTTTCCTTGTTTGTCTGCAAAATAATAAGTTCATTTTATCATAAATTTTAAAATATTTTGTTTTACGGACTTACATGGAAACATACATAAACTTGAATGTTCTCAAACGTGCGGAAAAATAAAAAAAGAATAGTCTTAGTGCGGAAAATTAAAAAAAAAAATTAAAAAATTGTATTATTTGAATTTTGTTACGCTTTTGTGAGATTTCTAGCATAAATTATTTTAAGAATATACTATCAAACGAACTATTATTTTAATTCTCGAAGCCACATCTACAAAGCTATAAATGTTTTAAACTAACATTATTTGTTTACAATAATAAATGTTTTAAATTTATATTTTTTAACTTGTCAACGTTTTGTA